TGTATGTATATGTATGTATGTATATATATAGAGAGAGACTGACTGACTGACTGACTTGTTACTGACTTGTTACTTACTACTTGTTACTTACTTACTTATTTGTTGGAGCCAGAGGAGAAAGAAGACCACTAAATTGTAGTTTGTAAGTCCAGACCTTAGTTGGGAGTTCCATCATAAATACTGTGACGAAATAGTTCAGAAAACTTTATAAAAATAGACAAAACTGAACATATTGGGAAAAATTTGACCCAAACAGAATATAGATATTTACACAGCACCCGGAGAAACAAAACTCAGAACAAAATGCATTTAACAGCTAAAAAAGTCGATTTTGCATWTGACTACTTTAACCTTTTTTTATTCACAGTCTTTGTACGTTTTTTGTTTTTTTAAGATGTTCATAATGTACTAAATGCAAAAACCAAGTTGYATTCCAGTTATTTGTTCAGCTCGTTCCAAGCCCACTGGGCAGGGATTTCCTGCAGTCCTTGTTATTGCTGAAGTGGGAGATCAACCGTGCTGGACTCCAGGAAGTAACTGCGCCCCTCCAATAAATAATAAACACTCTGACCCACATACACAGGGCAAGAAAGCAAACAAATCCTTTTTTTTTCTTTCCCTCTAAATTGCTTGCATTAGACTCAAACTGTTTTGGTGTTTGAGTGGCTAACAAACACATGTAAAAGCCTGGGCACATTTGTCAAAAATTCTGTAAATAAAAAACAAAGTGATCTGCAAAAGGAAAAAAAAGTCAAATAAAGCATTATTTTCAAGTGTAGATATTTATCACTATCAAACACTTCTCTCCTCARGCTCTGACATCTCATTCTTCTCAGACCACACCAAAGTGGGAAAGACCAGGTCGTAGTTTTTAGTAGCTTTGCTTGTAAAATTAAACGGTTTGTTTATGAAGCCGCGGCACTTTATTTTATCACTGATTATCTGTCTCATAATCTGCTGTCAGGACATAGTGACAGTTTTATCAAACATATTTAAAAAATACATTTTATAAGAGTTACCTATAGCAGCCCCTTCAATCCTAAATCYGTTCTGTTGCACCGCCTCCACGGAGGAGTCATCAGCTGAAAATGTTGCCTGCGTCTGCACAAGATTCAGTCTGAAGCTTGAAAGTGAGCACATGTGCAATGCATGTCTTGTAATGAAGGGGAAAAAAGAACTTAATGGCTGCAATAAGAAAAGGTATGTGGGGGTTAAAAAAAATGGAACGGACTTTCATGGAAACAACTTTCCATCTGTTGAGCGCCGAGGTGAATTGGTTACGCCGTTGGCTTGTGTTGGGTGCAGTGGCACGRGGAAGACTGGATCCAGTTCACTACCAGCATCTGTTCAACAGTCAGCTTTTAACTCTTAGCAATAATAACGGATGAAGACCTCTTAGCAGAGAAAACAGGGAGATGTTTATGGGATAAATTTTGTGCCAGCAGGAATTGAATTTGAATTACTCAGAATCTGTATGTGTATAATTTGAAATTGAATGTGTTTGTTTGAAAATAAATTTCACTAAATTCAAACTGAATTTAAAGTTTTGTATTTGAATTTATTAGCTTTGAAACTGTATTTTGGTTTATTAATAATTCAGTTTGACTACTTTCACTTTCTGTTCCATAATTCAGATTTTTGT